AATGCATCCGTCGATAAAAGCCTAAACAAAGAAACAGATGAAAAAAACTTTGCTTCGCCTAACGCATCTTATTTAGTCTTAATAACTAACATTTATTCTTAGTGGATTAGGTGGATCTTACGAATATCTAATAAAAGTCTGAGGTTCAACAAATATCAAGAAAATGTATATAGATAGTCGTTCTCTCTTTGATAAAATACCGAGATTTCCGACTTTGGCTGTACTTGAGATCAACATCCACTGCCACATGCACACCTCTATTTACTCTATCAATATAAAAAGATTGAAGATGATGAGAGATAAGCTACTTTTATTGTTTTTATTGTTAAACATATGGGGTGTCCAGCAATTCGCCAGACAAAGAAAACTTTGCATATATTCGTCATTCTTCAATCGAATGAGCTGATTTTTGGGTGTGGGCGCTGGTGATGGTGGGTGTGTGGTGTCGGTCTCAGTCTTATCTTCAATCCTACTCACGCTCACACCCACACCCACACCCACATCCTTTACACTATGGCAATTCTCTTTAGAAATCCAAGACATTTGTTCGACATCTGGAATGAACGAGACAACAGGTTTGATAGCCTTTTCAAGAGAAACTAGAAGCATCTTCTCAAAGCCTTGAATTGGTAAAAGCATTCGCCGTAATTCTGCAGCAATATCAGAGAATCGATGAGTCTGTTTTTGTTCATTGACATTGTTAGGCATTGAACTGTGAGTTGAACCTAACAAAAAAAGATGAGACGTCACCCTAGTTCAACTTACAAGGCTAATCTTTGTGATAAAAGAGTAATTCATTGAAGTCACTCATTTCTGAAAAATTTCAGTTCGAAAAGACTTAGTAAAATACCAAAAATCATTGCAATAGTGGATCTGTTAGTAACATTTTCATAAACGTTCTTTCCGAAAGCTATTTAAACAAACGGAAAATACGCTTAAAAGATTGGTGAAATTCATCAAGAGGGCAGAAACCTTGTGGCTAATCTTTCCAGTAACGATAGATACGCACTAAATCATGCTGTAACTGTTAATACAAGCAAAAATACTTCGGATACTTAGAAAGCAGAAAAAAATCTAAAACCTATATTTTTTTTCTTCAGATAAATCAGGTAATTGAGGTAAAAGTCTTGAGCAAGAAGTTTATCGTTTAAACTCGTACATAGAATGTGATGGAACAATGAGACAATTTTTAATCATTTACAAAAGTAAGTATTGCCTACACAAAAATTCGTCATATAACGAAACTTGAAGTGTATTTAGTAAAGAATATAAAAGAATTTTGTCAAATTTTCCTAATCATTATGCATGTCTCATAGAATCGACTTTTCTCACTAATCGTGAAAGTATCCTAGGCAATAAGTAACAGTTTTTAAATCAAGAAATACTCTATATTTTTTGATTCCTATTGAATGCTTCGTAATGATTTTTTTTATCCTTCATTAAATATTTCGAGCGGATCAAAAAAGAAATCATCGGAAATAAATGGATTCAGTTGAACTATGAAATAATGATAGAATTTACTGTGAATTATCGATAAAGGTATATTCGAAAAAGATACAAATGCTGTTGGACCTAATGAAGATGCATTCGAATTCGATAAAGATTTATAATGAAGTAAAGATTTTGTGTAAACAGGTGGTGATTCACTGAATGACTCGGTTTCACATAGACCAGTGGAGCTACCAAAGGATGATCTTTTTGTAACCAAATTTCAACTGGAATATTGTATGTGTTGTCTTTATATTGAATACTAACTGTGCCACACAGCCACAGTCAATCTACCGAAGCACCATTATTATAGAAATAAGGTGAAATCTTTAAGATCAGGTTACTAATTGATGAAGAAATCACTTCCTTCACATCACGTAAAAGCAAATATTGTTCAACCACGTTAAAATCAATAAATTCGATTTTATCCTGTTTACAAATATTTAAAGTACTTTGGCTTGTTTAACCATTTTTTCAATAGCATTGGGAGACTGTTTTGACATAATAGTTGCCAATACTATAGATTAAGAATGAATAGTAGTTTGTATTTTGAAGAATCCAATTGAGTCAACGAGTAAAAATTACCTGCAAGAATGAGTATATAAAGAATAGTAAGTAATAGATTCGGGATGTGGGGTGTGAGTGTTAGAAAAAGACAAGACCAACATACACATTTACAGGTACAGCCATATTCTTCTGTGTACTGTTCGTGAAACAATTCGATTGCGTCGTAAATAGCATAGTTTCATTGTTTAACTGACATTTTACGTGCTTCAGTATCATTGACAATACTGAATCAATCATGTTGCTATAATTCTTTCGATATTTTATAAAACGAAAGATTTCTCAAAATAGAATATGGTAATGCTGAGCTCCTAATCCCATCTTAGTTTCACCATTACTCGATCGGATGAACGATAGTTTGTGATGGATATCGCTTTCATATCTATGGTAATCCTTAGTTTTTTATATTCCAGTCATATATTCGTCATGTTCATGATGTTTAAAATACTCTTTTTGGCTTTAGCAATCATCATAATAAGTTACTCACTACAGTCAAATAACCAAAGTTGAATAAATCTACTAGATGATTTCAGTTGCGTGCTGTATATGTGGCACTTATTTTTGTTCTTATCGAATGATTTTCTTGTTAATTTTGCATCATGGCAAGACTTGACATTCTTTTTCTGTTCTTTTTACTTCTTACTTTCGTTTTTTTTTCATTCCATGCAAATACACACTCTATCGAGATAGGCTATGCATGGCAGCAGCAGAACATTTAAGAATTTGACTAGATAAAGGTTGTTTGCAGAAAAAGAAAAAAAAATTTATACTTGTCCGATTCAATTCATTTCAAATGAATTACACAGGCCAACATTGATTTTTGTAAGATGTGAGATGATTGGCTTTGTTTTGAAAAAGACAATGACAAAAAATTATAAACTTCATGAGAATATATGAATACTGATAATTGGTAGAGTACCACTATTCTAAAAGAGCTTCGTGTTTTATTGATTCTTAAATTGATGAAACTTAAATTATTATGAAGATGAGACAACTCTTTTGTAAGATGATATAAAAATTGATAATTTTCAATAAAAATATGATTTTTCGAATAATATGAGTATTTTACAAAATCGCACAAATTCATCTTATTTGTTTATAACGAAAAAAAAGAAAGGGTGTGAGTTTGAATCTACTCGTGAACTGTCGATACCCACACCGTGGTAACCAGCGTTAAATAATGGTTATATATAACAATCTTATTTGTCATTTAATTCAATGCTTATAATAATAAAAATGTTAAGTTAAGAGAAAAGAATTACGAAAATGAAAATTACTGAGCGAATAGCAATAATGAAAACAAAAACTAAGGACGCCCATCACAAAAAAAGCAGTAAAAAAAATTCTTGATTTTACACTTTCTGCATTTCGTACTAGTATTATGAAGCTGAAGAAGATATGTAAGTTCCACATTTCAGCCCTAAAGAGGCTGCGCTAACAGTCTTTCCAGAACGCATTTCGATGACATCTTAGAAATCGTAGTTGCCGGATACTAGTACGAGACAAGATTGCTCGTGCTTTTCTTTCAACTGACTGATAGAAGTTTCCACTTCGGCAGCTACTGCTATCGTAAGGCTTGTTTCACTCTCGTACTCACCATGAGCAACTCGTTCATAGAAACAAATAGTGAAACAGTCGCTTTTGAAGAAATTTTTCTGGTCGACTTGATGCATCTGAATCATCACTGTCACCAGTCTCATCTTCATCGTGTCGAGCACAAATCAATTGTATCTAATGTGAATTCGTTACAAAACATTTATCAATTGAAGTCTGTAATCATCAAATGATTTTGAACTCATTCAGTCATCAATCAACATTCTTCGGTACCTGTCCTTGTATGTGATCAGTGGAAGAAATTTGTGCTATGCAGTTATATTGTTGACACTATTGGAAAATGTAAAATGCCCACCACACGATGGTAATGCGTGAGCTTTTTCTTTCTTTCCGAATTCAGGAAATTATCTTTAGGAGAACATTTAAAAAAAATCTTTTCAAGATGTTCGATTCATCCCAATGTTCAGAGTATTTATTTGATATTTGGATGAATCCCTTCTTGAATTTCGAGTACTTTGTCATATTGGAAATTGTGACTCGACCAAAAGAATTCGCTTGGCTTACAGACTATCCATTCGTCCACAATTGACTTAATTAACAATAAGGATGCAATGAGACGTGACCGAAAATCTCCCCCAACGAAACTGCGATAGTTTTTTGCTAACTTTCGGACGATGCGAGCAAAGTACACTCTCACACCCTATTCATCCTTAGCCATTCGAATCGAATATTCGTCATCAACATGAAGCTCTTTCACTTTTCGAATAGTATCCATCGTAATCGCTCTGTAACATCAACAAAGTTTGATCAATTTGGATAGCCGACAAATAATACATCTCGAAAGCCACTGTATCGTCACAGAAATGTGTTGTTGTTTTTTCTCGATGAAATAACCGTACGAATGTCCTTAGTCGACAAGACTTACCTATAATGGTCAATGGCATGATCGATTGTTGTGAAAAAACAATCCTGATCAGGTTCGAGATGACCGATGTTACAATCGGATATTCGATTACATTTCATCTAATGATAGAGATTTGTAAAAATGGTGTACCATCATCGGCAATGGTTCAAATTTCAGGCATTAACAACATTCTAGATTTTTCTGTTTCGTCATTTATCATCATAGTCAAGCACACTACATCGCAGAGCAAACATACTGATCACAATGCACGCCAACATCGGCTTGCATTAGATCATATTAGTAAGAAAGAGAACCAAGTGCATGTGAAGAGAACGCAAAAAAAACGAAGAAAAAACAAGAAAGAGAGAGAGAGAGAGAGAAATAGAAAGAATGAAAAAGGAAAAAAAAAACATCGCCTGAGCATAAATAACGAACATTTGTTCTTTTTTGCACTAGTGTTTTTTTCTTTTCTACCACATTCACATTAACCATGATGGTCGATGAGAACGACAACAGCAACGAGTACGCATATGAAATAATCAACAATGAAAGAGATGCACGTTTATGTGCTCAACTTACTGCTGAAGAATTTAATGGACATAATCCAATTACGTTTTTTGATAAACTTACATCAGACGTTTTATTTCACCAACGTGCTTGGCCACTATTAGCCGATGTTGTCGATGAACAATTGTCCTTTCTTGCACGACATCGACCTTCTGGTGAAATTGTTGGTGCAGCCATCGCTGGCGATCTATTTCTTGCACATACCCAACGTCCATACGATGCTGATAGTCCTGCACATTTCCTTGCAATTGGTGATTTATCTCATGAAATGAATCATCTGTTTATTTCTCGTGGTTTTAATCAAGAACTAAAGCCAAATTCAGTTTTAAATATTGTTACTACTGCCGTTCGAGGTGAACATTCTGGTCAAGGTTTAGCTAGTCGAATGACTAGGGTCTTGTGTGATCATGCTCAAAAAACAAAAGGATTTCAATATGCATTCGTTCAAGCAACACATCCAGCTGCACGGCATATTTATCTGAATAAAATGGGTGGCAGACAAGTGAGCTTAATTGATCCAACGATATGGCGATGGAAAAAGAAAGTTGATCGACTATTCTATCCATATAGAGATTATTCAGATGACTCGATAGAAAATATTCTTATCGAATTAATACGAGATGAAAAAATGCAATAAACCGTAAAAGAAAAAAAAAGATTTTTTTTTCCTTCAACTTCTCATTTGATCTTCTGTAATATCCAGAATTTTGTTTTACTTTTCTCCTATGTTATTTCAGCAATTATCATCAAGAATTATACCCGCACTTGATAATCTAAATCTAATCACGCATATCTTGTGCGTTGATTTTCAAGTGTCAAAAGGTTGCGCTATGATAATAAGAGGGCAGAAAAAAAGTATGCAACTGCTCTTTTTTCGACTGTTTCCAATAAAGTAAAAAAACAAAAAGCTAATACAAAGTGTTCACATGTTCCAATCCATCTGTGCTCTACGGATAAGTCAGAAAAAACTTCGTCATATTTTTTATTATATAATGATCAATGAACACTACAGTGCTGGCCAAAGTTATAGAATCACTATATTTTTGAAGTTTTTCATTGAAGACCAACAATTGAATCAAATGTGAAGTCAAATCCTACTCAATCCAAGTTGAATCGAGACGTACTTTATTTTTACTCGTAGTCATCATCCCTCTCAGACGATCTCTATCTTCGTCTTTCATGTAATTTCATTGAATCATATGAATGAGAGTCTTCAAACAAATTACAGTAAGATGAGAACGAACAGACTTCCATCTTAGGTTTCTCCATCGAGCAAATGCATATCACTCGGACAATTCGTTTCTCGATTGAAATTTTTTCAGATTAAGTTGCTTCGGATTATTGTCGAATTACTGTCATTCAATGCGTTTTATTTCAATAACAAAGACACTAATCGTTCAGCAACAAGCATTAGTAGAAAAATGTTCGTTTTTTCCGTAGTGTAGAAATCGAAAACTCGGTTCGACTCGAAAAAGTTTATTGAACTATTCAACTATTCAAGTTTTCGAGTATTTAAGTACAACATTAGCAGGTTGCACCCGTCAGGCTTCATTCACAGGTACATATCCATCTTATGTGTTCTAGCACTTTGTAACTAACAGGTGTCTAGATCCCAGCTCATCAAATAGTCGAATACATTTCCCGACTCGAACCGAGTTTTCAACTTCTACATGTATGTCAGCGACGGTAATCACCTTAAGCATTTCTTTTCGTGATACTGACAACTCCCATTCTACTCCAATACAAATCCTATCGAAAATATGTAAGCATGAATTTTTCCCAATAGGATTCTCTTTCGTTTCATGTTGCTTCAGTTGCACGTTATTGAACAACTCGCTCTCGGTGGTCACTCTTAATGGTCGATTGAAAATGCTCGGTTCGAGTTGGTCCACCTTCAATCCTTTGATAATGGGTACCTTGCGACAGTCACTGGCTCTGCGAGCCGTTTTCACTGCACATGGCACGAATGATTTGTACAAAGGCGATATTCATTATCTGGTCGGGATCATGCGTTTGGATGAGTATCTGATTTTTATCAATCATAGCAATGCAATTCCAGTCACTGTGGATTATGTTATGAATGACCGATGGATGAGAGAATCAAAATGAAGATGATCCAATAGTTTAATCATTGATTCAAGAACGAACCTGATCTCACTCTGTTTATTCAAACAGGTCTCACCACCGGTCACTATAGGGACGAAAACCAATATCCGATTGCTGACCAACAGATGCGCTACATGTACATGGGCAAAGATCGTAGATTGATCGAACAAAAGTTATCAACGAATAAAAACCATGTTCACATCCGCTGTGGACACTCTTGGATATCGACCATGGATCAGTTTCCAAGCAGGCACTTCGTTAGGTGGCATAGATTGTTTCGTCTATGAGAGCCATCCGATCGAGAAAGCTTTTAGAAATCAGTGGATTTGTCAATGTCTCACTTCAGGTACCAAAATCATATTTGACAAAAAAATTTTCTTCCTGAGTTTGCTGTCATCTTACTCTCGCTGTGATTTCAGGTCAGTACGATTGCTCGTTTAGCTCACTGAATTCTACATCTGGAAGATGTGCATATCGATATGTAGGGTGTGGATGTGGGTGTAAGTGTAAGGAAGAGACTGATTTTCACAGCCACACCTTTCTTTTCAAAACTTCAATTTATTTTTAAAACTTTTTTAAATTTTAGTTCTCATTCGTGAGATCTAAGTCGCGATAGGCTATGTTAAAATTCTCCATTCGATTCATCATCATTATCTAATAGTCCTAATAAATCCAGTTTTACATCTGCTGAACGTTCAAAAATTGAAGACAAAAAGTAGAAAATCATTAAATATTCCTCTTCAATCATCACCAATCCCAACGTCTACATCATTATCTGAACAATCTATAACAACAAATTCTTATCGATAAAAATCAATAATAAAACCAAAATAATCTCCAATTACTGAAGAATTAGATCGTGAATTTAATAGATAACGTACACTTGATCTAAATCAAGAATTAACTTATGTTACACCATCACCAATTTATAAACGAAAAAAAAAATAATTGAAATATCTTGTCAAAATCTTTCACCATTACCAACATTTGATGAACTTCTACGTTAAGTACAATTACGTCTGATTGATAAATTCACAAAACCTTTAAAAGAAAAATCGATTGATGACGATTATAAAAATTCATTATCATCTGTTCCTGTTATCATCTTCAACCAATTCGTAACCTTAGTTTTGATAAGCCAATAACGAATATTCTATCTGAAAAACAACCACCACCACGTTCTCTTTCAATTTCTAATTAGTTTCATAATGGTTTAGCAAATTTAATACTAACAATATTTCAGTAAAATCGAATTTTTAATAATCAAACTCAATATGAAGCAACTAATGTTAAAGAAAATATTTACACATTAGATATTAATGTATATTTACCAACATCAACTATTGATAAAAATGAAGATAATTATCTTTAAATTCATCTTGATAATCAAACTATTGTAACAGATAATTTCTATTCTGATTATCAAACAAAAACAAACAATAAATTTATCATCAATATTAAATGATTTTACACATTTATTTACATGTAAACATAAATATCAAAATAAATTACATTATTATATGTAGATTTTAGTGTTAATTTATATATTAGATTTCATCTACATTTTTCCACGAGTTCATTTTGTAACACAACTAAATATAAGATGATTATTTGCTGTTTAAATATAACATTCGCTATCTATAGTATAATTTGTTTCACCTAATGATGCATCTGGGTGTGGATGAGTGTGAGAGTGATCTTCCAGTGAATCCAGATCCAAAACCTACACCCGTTGTTTGTCAACGAGATTTTCTGGATAAATTTCGACAACAATGCCTGTTCTCATGTGATTTGACAGCTGTCAAGTGGTTTTATATTCAAAACATGATGTGAAATTATGTTTCATTTGTGGAAATGTCTGACAAAAAATAGTCATTTATCGTATAGATATTTCAAACCGATGTGATTTAGCATATGCATATGCACTCTCCACACTGATATATTCATGATACAACGGTCCTATATATATTGCAATGAGTATGAACTACATTGCTACTGAAATAATCTATTCTGTGATTAATACAAGTTTTCTTTATTTGCTGCTGTTCAAGACCAACGTGCAGATTTGCCTTGCAATTCAATGATGTGTATTACTTGCTGACCAATCAGAATACGATACTGTCCAGGGTGTAACCATTTCAAACCGTTACTAGCGACTGTGAGAAGAGCACTGACAGAGAAAGGAAAAAAGACTTGAATAGTTTCGTTAACATTCAAATGCACACGTTCGAAGCCGAAAAGCTGTTTGATTGGTGGTGTTTGATCATTTCGAGGGGTTTGTGGTGGTGAAACAAAGGCTAGAACGACATTATCGCCAGCCATTGGGCCTGTATTGGTTACATTGATACGTAAATCTTTCGTGACAATACGCTTCTCATCATGATTATCTTTTATCAATGATTGAATCGAATAGGAAGAGATCATTGTATGATTGGTCCATGAGTAGACAAAAGTGCTGTAGGAAAGTCCAGTGCCAAACTCATAAATTGCTTGACCAGTGTAAAATTTGTATGTTCGGCCAGGATTTACAGGAGAAGGTCGCATTTGCATATCAAACATACTTACTAAATCGACATATGAAGCAGGATATATGGTCATGGGTAATCGTCCAGCAGGGTTATATTGACCAAAGATTATTTTTGCTATAGCTAGACCACCAGCTTGTCCGGCATAACCCATCCAGATAAGACTCCCATAGGTATCAGAATCACGAATATGCGAAAGATCAAGACTATTACCAGACATCATGACAACATGGATGGGCGAATGAACAACTTGTTCGAGTTGTCTTAACAGATTTAGTTGAATATCTGGAAGGGTGATTGATGTACGATCATGACCTTCTGCTGCAGTTGCTTGATCAAGTCCACCAAAAAAGATGACAATGTCTGATTGACGGGCTAACTGAATCGCTGCTGCAAACCCACTTTCATCTGTGCCTGATATTGCACAGCCGTAAGCAAATTCTACATCGATAGACCTGCCTGCAAAAAAAAGCATGAATCTCACAATCGAAAGTATTACAGTATTGATCAAACCTCCTATGACCGATTTGAAACCAGTGATTGGATCAATAAGGTACGGTGCTTGACCGTAATAATTGCTCTGCATCAATACGGTTGCATTGGCTGTTGGACCAATTAAAGCAATTTTTTTGTTTTGTAATTGATCAAAATTCAATGGTAAAGCATTGTTGAGATTTTTCAACAAAACAATTCCTTCTTGAGCAGTTTCTAAGGCAAGTTGCTGAGCTTCCACAGTGTTGACATTGTCTTTGTTAAATTGTCGATAAATTTGTTGTTCAGGTGGATCAAAGTAGCCAAGTCGAACGAGAACATGAAATATTCGTTCAAGTGCTTGATCAATGTCACTTTCAATAATCGTTTTATTATTCAACGCTTCTTGAACATGTTGCCGATAGAAATCACCACAATTAAGATCTGTTCCGGCATGCAATGCAACAGCTACTGTATCTTGAACGGTCCTTGTATAATTGTGGGTATACATAATGGTTGCAATGGCTCCACAATCGCTGACGACAAAACCGTCAAGATGGTACGATCGCCTAAGAGAAACAAGTGATCGTCATGTGAAGATGATAAAATCGAAGTTCCCTACCGAGCAAGAGTTTCGATAAGAAATTGATTGGCACAAGCTGGAACACCATTTATGGAATTGTAACTACACATGATGCTGGCTGCTCGAGCATCTCGAATGCAGGTTTCAAATGGAGGCAAATAGGTCTCGACTAAGTCCTGATCATTGATGCGAGCATCGAAATGAAATCGATCAGTGCCATTCCATTCTTCGAGGTCATAAGCATTATAAGCTTTACAATTGGTAGCAATCTTCAAATAACGATCATCTTCACCAGTTTGCAGACCATTGACTAATGCATAGGCATATTGTGAAGTGAGAAATGGGTCTTCACCAGGTGTTTCTTGACCACGACCCCAACGTGGATCACGAAAGATATTGAGCATTGGTGTAAAAAAGGTCAAACCTGCTCGACCTTCGTTATTGAATGCGCGTGCTTCGGTAGAAATGACCGTTCCCATTCGATAGACCAAATGCATGTTGAAGGAAGCACCAAGATTGAGAGGGGCAGCAAACGAGGTGGCGAAAGGTAGATCACCGCCGAAAGAAACACCTGGCGAAAAGGCAATGCCATGAAGTGCCTCAGACCACCATTCATACTTCGGTAGACCGAGACGAGGAATAGCTGCTGCTGTTGTGACCATTTGAGTAATTTTCTCAGCAATTGTCATTCGACTGACGAGATCAGCCGCTCGTTGACGAGAAGAAAGCGATTGATCACAAATTGGAAATGTTGCCAGTGGACCTGATTTGCAATCAGGAAAATTGCCCTTTTGTCCACGAACTGAAATTATGAGGGTTAAGAACATTAGCAAACGCATCTTGATGATATGTGTTGTGTTAACTGTGTTCGTTTATATTTGTCCCCTCATACTTCACCTTCACCGATGAACCGATAAGATAACGTGATATATTAAAGATAACAGAGACATATAACATGTATGTCTATTTTAATGTTGAAAAATGATAACTGCACATTTGGATGTATCCTTCAACTAAAAGATTCCTTTTCTTACATTCTTCGTCCTATTGACTTGGAGAATGAGAGCACTATATTCAATGCTTGTTCTTCTTCATTGAAATTATCGAAGAATTTGGAAACAAAGTAGTTCAAGTTCTGGAACACAGCCACTATCATATTTCGATTGTGACTCACATGATGCTGGAAGATTATCTTTTCGATCTATAAACATTTCATCATCATTCGAGGTTTGGAAAGAGCTGATTGATAGTTGCAAAGCGCGTGAACTATGGACTTTTGTGGGTCAGTTTCCTCTGTAAAAACAACAAAAAAGACGTTATAATGAACCTTTTTGGAGCTTTATGGTTACTGACTAGAACCGATAAAAGGTTCAGAAAATGATACCCAAAGCTAGAACCTTGAAAAGTTCAAGATCTTCACTAAAACCTTAAAAGCTTCACTATGACACTTTTTTCACTATTGGCTATTATTCATTGGCAATCATATCCGGATGTCCTGTTCCTTCGTGTCTTATCTTTACAAATGTTCTCATCTTTTTGGGTGGTTGTAAATGGACAATTTTGACAGCTCAGATCAGTTTTCTATTTTATATTGCTTCGAATGTCTATCCAAAAGTGTGGTATTCACGTGGTACCATAATTCAAAAAATCAGTAAACCGGTCATAACTCCCTCCCAAAGCAATAAGGAGACAAACCAACTTGGGATACTTCACTACTCACTAGGGTCCACAAGATAACAGTAGTCTGAATCCGAAAGCTTTTTATCACTTCGAGAGATTCCCTAGTTAGACTTTTGCAAAAAAGAATTATATAAGATTTATACAAGAATCTTTTCTTTCTTTTCCTTTTTTCCCTTGCTCTGATAAGGCACCGATCAGTAACACTGCTCCTCAGAAATATTGTTGTATAAAAAAAATAGAGATAAACCTGTGCAATTACAACTCGATATTCGAAGATTTTTATTAAAAAATTTCGTAAGCAGAAACGTTGCGTATACTTTTCATGAAGACTTTATTTTTTTGTTTTGAATAGAAATATTTATATATCATTAAGAGTTTATTAAAGACTGAATATTATAGTATCCTAAAAAAATTATGAACTAAAAACAAAAGAGTTGCAAATCCAAAAAATAATGAGATTAATTGGTGGGTGTGGGTGTGAGGAAAATGTACACCCATACTCACACCCTCATATGGCTTTTCATGTTGTTGAACAATATATATGATATTATCATTCTCTAAATATATCTAAAAGAAATAATAATCAATCCACTTAGCTTGATCCTCAGTATTTTTTTATTGAAAGTTTGCTAAAAATCTCTCATTAAGATATGTACGAAAATTTTTTAATTTTACTATGAAACTTAATCATCTAAATGACATTGATGTCTTATTGTTTTCATTGTCATAAAATAGTTATATTTTAAGATAAATGAATTACTCAAACTACCGAAGATTTCAAGAGAAAACATGTTAGTAAATACCAATCTGTATAACTATGTTATTGTATGTATGTTACTGAGTTCTACTACAAAAAAAGGAACTTATTGAATATAACTACTTTCCTTTTCTGTTTTTTTCTCAAAAAACCGAATAACCTTATTTGGAAAGTATTAATAAGAAAAGAGTGCAAAAGAAGACGAAGTTGAAGATATAACAAACGATATATCGATTGTAAATCATCTCCATCCATTGAATAACTTTCACAATTGTTCGATCGATAATTTTTTTTTCTAAAATTACAAACATCTAATATACTTATCAATTCAACTGTTATTATTGTTTGATATGATATTCCACAATTGACTATGGTAAATTATTAGAAAACAAAGCATTTAAGCAGTTTCTATTTCTATGTATTGACAATCAAAATTTTCGATTATATTTATAACTTACAGAACACGATCGTTCTGTCCTTTACAAAGCTCGGATCACTAACTATTATATCATTGATTTGGTACCTAACGATAGATGAAAGATAGGAAAAAACTCGAGAAAAAAACAAACAAAAACAATGCTAATTGAATGTCTAATAATAATGAGAAAAAATAGAGAGAAGAATACTGATTACATGTTTTTCTTTCTTTTACGGATTTTTTTCCTGTAGTTATCTGTGTGACACATGATTAAATGACGATAATTCGCACAAATTGTGCAAAAATACAAAAAGATGAAAAGTCTTCTATCTCTTCTATGTTCATGTGAACGAACCAATTTCAAACAGAGTAAGCCCTTATCTATACTAATATTGATCACAAAAAGACGAAGGGTACAATTAAGAAGCAATATTTCACTGAAAATCTATAGAAACAGACATATTTCTCTTCTCTTCTTTCTGTGTACTTATACAAAACTTAATAAATTGATGAGATAATCGTCCCAACTATCAGATTATCTTTTGAATGAAAAACTAGGGAACTATAGGTTATTGCAGCCTACAACTATCCTCGATCTTTGTGTGAAACGGTAATTCTTTTTTTACTAAAGAACATTCATTAGCAAAAATTTCAGTCATAATTACTATTTTTTGATAAGGAATGTATTTGGAAAATGTTCAAACATTTAGGCTATGTCTGTCGTAAGCGATGAGAAATAGAAAAAAATATTTGACAAAAAACAGTCGTTTGCCTGAAAAAAATTTGTTTTTTTTATTTAAAGCATCCTGAGATGGTTCATGAGCCACTCATATGATGGCATTATTCTAAATGAACACTATTGGTAATCTATAGTTCACTCTATAAAATCGTATCTCAATATTTTGTCTGCTTAGTTATTAATATGCCTACTGAAATGATACTTAAAATATTTGAATTACTCTCAGTTCGTGATCTAGAAAATGTTTCATTAGTTTGTCGATATTTTAAAATGATTGTTGATCATGATATTATATGGAAAACAAGATGTAATAGTAAGTCATATTTATCTTCTTTATTTTTGAATTAATTTAAAAAATAAATTCCAAATCATATAAACAAATTTATATTGATTGGATTTTTGAAAAGTATCTTCGAAATCAAGAATTAGAAATACTTGAAAAAAAATATCGAAAAATGAATATAGGTTGTGGATTGAAATATTCATCTTCTCGATATCCTGTTCGATCAAAAAACAATGAATTATTTTTACCTATTCTTGGATTTAATCAACATCTAAACTTATCATCAAATATGTAAGTTAAAATTTGATTCATTCCAATTTTAATTATCTTCTACTTAGAACTATTCAATTATCAGTTAATATTGATAAAACTGTTTATGTATTAATATTATTATTAGAAAAAGCTTCGAAATTTCAGAATAAATGGCGTAATTCAGTGATATTACAACAAATGATTAGCCGATATTATCGATTTATGTAATTAAAAGTTTTATATCCTACGAAATTTCTTATTCCAACTATAGATATTGAAATAGTTTGGCAAACACATCTTTTAAGACCTCTAATATATCAAGATGATTGTCTTCGATTATTTCATCAAATTATTGATCATTCATTATTATTAGATCATACTCAACAATCTTTTAAAGAACAATCTTTTTTAGATACTTTACATTTATATGAAAAACATTTTCATGAACGATATTGTACATTACCATTAAATAAAATATCTTCATGTAATTCTATTGATAGATATCAATATTTAATTCCAATTTATTCTTATTGGGATGAAACATTTTTTAAATTTTCATCATATCCTCTTAATGACTATGAAAATCCATTTTCATTTACAGAAGTTGATATTATTCTTGATGCAAATTGGATAAACTCATGTAAAATTTTTATGAATCGGATCGATTTCGAAATACACATGGATTTTTGGAATATTAATCCATTAAAATCAATTGATTTAAATTCATCAGTAATCAAAGGATTAAAAAAATCATATGAAAGATTTTTATATATAACAGCAAAATATGCACCAACTAAACAATATGATCTCATTCATCCAACATATGCAGTAATAGTTTATAATATTAGTTATACTATAATAAGATTTTTATATTTAGATTGATATTATATGGCATTGCCATATGCAAGAACCTTTAAAATATGCTAATGATTGTAATCGTCTTGTCGATTATCTTATTGATCATTATACATGGCCATCAATTGATAAATATCAAATAAAACAATCTTGTCAAAAACTTAATCGATATTGGAAAGAAGAATTTCACAATGACATGTCAATAGATCATGTTGAATATGATTGAAATTAAAACTGACTTTTATTTTCTAATTGTAATCAATGTTTTTTATTCATAAACTTAAATAAATATTTTGTCGAAATCTAGAATCTAGAAGTTAATTATTGGTAATATTTTCTTTTTTGTATCCAATCGACAACAATACAAACAATTGTCAAATCATGTTATTGCGTTTCGAGGAGTAAAAGGTTCATTAAATTATTTAAGAAAGTAAGATTCAAAAAGCTAGAGAAAATGAATCAACGGTAAATCAGATTTATCTTTATAATATTCCTCAAACTAAAAAAATATAGTGAAAAATGCTTTACTATGCCGCCATTAGTCAGATGTTACCTTCCATGATGTTTTCCGTGCGTCCACCATCAAGAAAATGATGAGTTTTCGCTATGTTAATATATTTGCACTCTCATCCTTGACTGAGGAAATTCTTAATCGCAAAAACTTTATGCCGAGTCGAATTCATTACTTTTGACTGACTTCATTAGTTTACATTAGCTTTATATAATTCCAATGACATAGAATTAGCTGTTTCTCCCTTAAAATTGGATGTGTGCGTGTGAGGTGTAGATGAAGAGAAGGTGTATGCACATACCCACACCCTCAAGATAATAATACGCACAGTCACACTGTCCTATGCATACCCTTACTGGTAGTTCTAGGCTAGTTCATTTTTCAGAGATATTTCTAGTATGTGAAACAAGGAAAATAATTTTTAACTGAACTTTTTTTTTTGACTATAATGATGTGTCATCAGAATAGATAGAAGATTAGAAGATGATAATCACGCGGTGGTGTTTGTATGAATATAAAGGACAAAAACAGTAGTCTCTCTTTTAAATCAAATCGGCAATGCTCATGAGCAGATCTTCGATTTCTGTATTATAATATTGTTCAGTGTGGTGTAATGTTTGTTGTTCATCATTGTTAATGAAATTGATAGCTATATCTTTTCGACCGAATCGACCAAGACGTCCAATACTTAACCAAAAGAACAAAAATCATTTCCTTTCGACAATATTAATTCTTACCGATGAAGATAGTTCTCACGATTAGTCGGTAAATCATAATTGATAACAGGACTAACTTGTGGAATATCAGTATCAGCTTCAAGCATATCTGTTCTTACCAAGATTCGACTGGAACCTATTCGAAATTCTTTTATGTCATCATTACGTTGTTTTGCATCCATATTTAGGTGCTAAAATAAAAAGAAAATCAATTCGTATCTCAATGTAAAACTTTACAAATGGTTATTCCAAAATTATCATCGTCAAACTGACTAGAGTAGACACAGTAAAATTACGTGCACGTAATTTTTCATATAACCAATCGACCTTTTGACATGTGTTACAAAGGATGACAGTTTGTGTGATCGTTAATGTATCGAACAATCCATATAATGTATCTAATTTCCACGCCTGAATAAAAACAATTCTGCATTAGTTCATCATCATAGAATGACAAGTATGTCTATCTATCTATCTCACGTTCGACATTCACGTAAAATTGACGAATACCTTCGAGCGTTTGTTCTTCTCTCTTGGTAAGAATTTTCACAGGATCATTCATAAATTTATCTGCGATTTCTAGTAAATCGCAGGGCATCGTAGTTGATATAACAATGAACTGAATATTTCTCGGTAGCATCGTCAATATATCATAAATGCGGTCTCTGAAACCACGTGATAAGAGCTCAACAGCTTCATCCAATACGAACATTTTGATATTTTCACTAACCACAACATGAAGGAGGAAAAAAATACGATACATATAAGACATAAATTACGTACAAATGCTGATCTCTTTAACATATCATAGTTCCGACCAGGTGTACTAATAATAACTTGGACGCCTACTTCAAGACATTTCATATCCTCACGAAGATTCACACCACCAACGCAAGCATGACATGTCACATTTATATGTTTACCTAGTGCTAAAACTATTCTATGGGTCTAAATTACAAACAGAATCAAGAAGTTAATGAGAAACAAAGACTAAATGCTAGAGAAAACTATACTCCTTGAGCCAGTTCATGCGTTGGTACCTAGGGTGTGGGTGTGGGTGTGGGTGTCTTCTCTCACATTCATATCCACACCCACACCCTCTACTTACCTTTATCTCTTTATTTCTATAAATAACTGTGAACAACTTTATTTATTCGAATGATATTTTCTCAGAGCAGTCAAATCTGAGAACTACATTTGAATAGGATTTTTTCAGAGGTATGAGAAGATTCATTCATCAGAAGCAAATTTCTCACAAGTTTTCTTGTTTATTTTCATTGAGAAAATGACTTCATTGAAATCTTCAAAAGAAGTCGACCAATTGATCAAGCGAGATAACGGTTCTGCTCTATGCTGTGTCAAACTTCATTAGTTCATATTGTAGTTGATGTATTTTAAACGTAATCCGAGAAACTACTTGAGAGGTTACAAAAAAATATCACAAACATTGAGAGAAGTCAACTTTTTAATTGTCTTTAACATCTTCTAGTTGTTTTAAATGATTGGCTCATTGGCAGTGCTCAGGAGCTTTTCGTTAACACCTTCTGAATCTTCTACAAGTATTCGACTATCGCTTCGACGTTTTAATGCTCTCTCTTTGGCCTGGCTGAAAGCGTCTAGGAAAATATTGTATAAGTTTTCCATTCTAAAATGGATTCCAAAAAATTGTAGTATTATAATGGTGTCACATAGAGCAGCAGAAATGATTTCAGAAGTGAAAGAGATCATTTCATAAACGTGTTCATGGTGATTGAAATAGAGCCATTCGGTAGCGACGGCCACTGTGACTGAGGTCACAAATAAATACAGAGCCGATTTCATCCAAACACCTTGAAATCGATCGTATGAATCTGAGAAAAAGTCAAATAGAAGAAAAAAAGCGACGGTATTTCTTGTCAACGATGTATATCCGGTGTTCATGAATACTGGTATAAAAATAGTAAGAAGAACTTCTAAGCGAGACACAAAAGAGAAGAGATGTTTATTTTCGACGAAAATATTTGGGTCTAGATTGTGTACAACGCGAGCATATAAGAGGCCAATCGTGAAATAACTCTCGAGCATGAAGAAGCAAACATAAATAAAAATTTTGAATGTTTCGCCTTCTTTGATATAGTAGAACAAGTAACCTAGTGTAGCTGTTTCGGTTACGATCCACAGAAGAATATGATAGATAGCCAACAAGCGTCGCGATCGAATAGGTGCACAATATTGTAAATAGGAGAAGATGATGAAAATCGTTGATAATAGTCCTATGTAGGTACGTCCTTTAGGCTGATAAAGAAGGTGATACCATGCATCGAAGGCGTAGGAACCAGCGGAGACGAAAGGAAGAATAACCATCGCATACAGAAAAAAACGATCGCGGCCATCTTCTGGTTCATGTAAGTCAAAAAAAGCCATTGTCAAAGAACACTTCACAATGAATTTCACAAATTTATATCGTAGTAACAGCTACTAAAGATAAATTCATCAAAATGTTGAATAGTGATGTGTACACGTATTCGATTAGCCAACTTTTTATACACTAACATAATAGAAAAATCACGAGTGCATGCTTCTGTGGGTCTGGAGGTGAGTCTGAATGTGGTGAATGTGATGTATGTAGGTACGGGATGTTGGTGTTTTCTACATCCGCATCCATACCCAGAGACCTATCCGAATTCCGAACTTTTGAAGAATTCTTGAATTAAAAAATTATTTAACACGTACGGGCACTAAGAAACCACAGCATAAGATGCCGTAAATAAACTCAAGCACCTTAAGAATTCAAGGAGCCTAAGGATCACAAAGATCCCGAGAAACTCAAGGAAGTCAAGGAAGTCGATGATTTCACGGATCTCAACGATCACAAGGGGCCTAAGGAAGTCAAGGGACTCAAGAATCCCAAGGAAGTGATGGATCCCAAGAATGTTTGGCTTCCTTGATATTCTTCGGATCCTTGGTTTCCTTGTGATTCTTGACATACTTAGGGTCCTTGGGATCCTTTGTATCCCTGCATTCCTTGACTTCTCTGGGTTACTTGACATCCTTGAGTTCCTTGGATTCAATGAGATCCTTGAATCCCTTGAATTCCTTGAGGCCCTTGAGTTTGTTTACGGTATCTTATGCTGTGGTTTCTTAGTGTCCGTACGTGTTAAATAATTTTTGAGTTCAAGAATTCCTCAAGAGTTCGGAATTCATGGAATTCGAACGCTGCTGATGACCCGCTACCTGATCCAGATGTATATGTGCTTTCCGACAACAAGCCTCACGAGGATTATTTGACAATCAGATCCTGTTGAATTCAGTCCGAATTTTGGATTGAAGCGATGGAACCTGTAGAAACCTGGTTTTTGGAATGAGGTTCGAGTATCTAAGGTTGGACTTTCATCGCCTGGTACTGATGGCATTCGATTCAATTCATCTGAGGTCTGCGCTTTACATATCTCAGTGTATACATTTCAAACGTGCACTGCCTGAGTAGCTGCGCAGCCTTACTTCACATAGGATTTTATCGGATTGTTAGACTTAATATTGAATTAAATCATTTGGAGATCTCCTAGGCTGATCATACTACAGCGATGTCTATTCTTTTTACGGTACTGAATGATACTTGAAGTGTTCTTCAGATAACCAAGCAAACTTCCACATTCCAGCGCTTAATTCGTTACATATACAAACCACTATGCATGCTCTCACATTCACGTCCATATTCACACTAAACATGCAAATAGTGTTGCCTCAGAACAAATGTCTCTTGGAGGCTACTGTCATCTAGAAGAATATATCGGCAGAACAGCATACTCAGGACGATAAGTTACTTAGTGGAATTATAGCTCATAGGTAACTGCTACTGAAGAAAAAGCCTAGGTAGTTTTTGTCCATGTACACCTTGTACAGGTCAGTCTCTGTTCTGTTAGCAGCCAACATAGAAGCTACTTCAAAACAAATTAAAAATCTCTTTTCTTGTATATAGTCGTCTTTATTCTTTGACTGTTTTGACTCACAGACCTGCATTTTTTTAGACCTTAAAAAACAGCTAGTTTCGTAGAGCTTTTCAAGCTCTATCGAATGGTATATGAGAGTACTTTGGACATCGTTTCTATTCTACAGAATTCAAGTAAACAAATGTGCTTCATTTGTAAAATGAGAAATATTATATTTTTGTACGGGCAATGGACAGTCTCTATTTTACCTGGTTACAATTAAAATTGTATTATAAATGATTCAGTATATAAGGAAAATGTAGCATGGCAAAAGGTTTATCAAAAAATCGTTGATTTAATGTCAATTTTTAATTTTCTTTCTTCAAAACGTTCGTCATAATATTATACAGTGATTTTGGTCAACTAATGACTGAGGATGTGTGGTCAATGCAATACTCAAACGACAATCAAAATCTTATCAAAACACATTGAATTTAGCATCAAAATTAGGGGTGAGAAAGTTATTGTTATTTTTTTGTTACTAATAACAATAACATTAACGTTTTTTTTCAAAAAAATCAATGGAATAAGTCTACGCGTAGTTCGCACGAACATCAAAGGAGCACTTTATTAATAAAGTATCTTTTCATACTATTTGATATAAGAACTTCTCGTAAATATTTTGAGAAACAGTAACATAACATAATTTGTTATTGTTATTGTTATTGTTATTGTTATATAGCAATAACAATAACAAAATATATTATGTTATCGTTTCTCAAAATCTTGCCGATAAACTCTTATATCAAATAGTATGAAAAGATACTGTGTGAACAAAGGGATCCTTTGATGTTCGTACAAACTATGCTTAAACTTGTTTCATTGATTTGTTTTGAATCAAAAAGCTAATGTTATTGTTATTGATAACAAAAAAATAACAATAACTTTCTCACCCGTAATCAAAATGATGAGGACACATTTCTCCATTGATTCGTATATAATTCAATAATATTAATAATCGGAATTAAAAGGAGCCATTTCCAGTCTTAAAATATGAATGTAAAGGTAGAGTTTTCTTGTTAGTACTATTACTTAGGGAAGAAAAATCTTCTGAATACTGATGGACTAGAAGGGCATTAAAAAGATACTGCAATATCAAAAGACTAACGTTTGCTTCTTGTATTAGTACAAAAAATTTAGCAAGGACGAGTATATTACGTTGGTAATTGTATCGGCGTTGTTTAATAAAGAAAATGGAGATATTTTTTTTGCTTATGTACATGTCGAAAAAATATTTGGCTTGCGTGCATTCAAGCATATACGTAGGATAACGCATGATCATATATCACTGAGACACTGTTTTTTTTCATCAAAATATTCTTAATCTTTTACTTGTTCTATCACTTATTGATCATATAGCTTCAATGATCAAGAGAAAGAGAGCTAATCAATGGTTAGAAAAATATGCATTATATCATAACCTTTATTTTTCTTTCTGTCATTGCACAGAATAGATAAAATATACATGCTTCACAAGCAATAGTGTTTTGCTTCATACAATCAATCCTATTAAAATCGAGCTCAAAGGTACCTTCTGTCTATGACAGAAGACGTTCGTTTTCACTGCTACTTGTGGAAGTATTTTCTGTCCATAGCCATGTTCTTAGCGAAGGATTGACATTTGGATGATAAATAGATAGAATGCCCATAATCCTAAAAAATACGAACAAAAAGATATTTCTGGTGCACGATTGGCTGTTTTATTATCTTTTTTTTCTATACTAAAATTATTGATTCCATAGAATTAAAACATAATAATACGACGACGGAGACAGCGTCAAAAATGGAATTGAAAAGAAACAAGAAGAAAATAAAAGATTCATACACCGAATACGATGACACAATATGTATCGATTGATGCAAAAATAGAAATATTGAAGATAGAGTGAAACAAATAAATAAATAGCTAATGCATAAAAAAATTATTCATCTGCTAACAAAATTCCATTTGAACTTCATAACTCGAAAAATGTTTTAAGGCATTATACCTCTCTTATAATAAGAGAAACTTTCATAATATGCGCGCCATGTTTTTTTTGAGAGAACAAATTGTTGTATATATTTGGACAATAGACAAATGTAATGCAACAATTAAAATCATGTTAAATAAAGCTTTTTATGCTTAACATTTAGATTGAAATGCGTCAAATTCATTCTTCAGTTGATGTCAAAAACAGATCATCAACAAATATGAATAATGAAGTTATTATCGTTTTGACAGAGTAATTATATTAATCTTGCACACTCCTGTTTATTTATAGCGTTGTTTATGTTGTTATATTAATAGGATATGAAAACTAAACTATTATTTATATGCAAATCTACTGTGTGATTTATTCTATTTAAATGATGTAGTAAAATGTACGAGAGTCATTAAATTTAAAAATCAAAGAGCTTTGTATCTGATCATAATCTGAATTTGTTTCATGGCAAAAATTATATATTATATATCTAACGTCATGATCAACAAAATGAATTGAATTTCTCAAGTAGTTTTAAGAAATATGTTGTAATAAATACAACAATTTTCTCCAAATCGAAATTGATTTTCCATTTTTTAGAGAATGAATTTTTTTTTTTGAAAATCAAATTGAATTTCTGGAATTTAGCAAAATTAAGTCTTTTTTAAATATTTAAAATTTGGGTGTGGATGACGAGAAGATCCACACCCACACACAAACTTTTTTTTTTTCATATGACCCTCCCTTCAGTCGAGGGAATAGTATATACAAGAAAGATAGACTAGAACGTTTGTTTTTTATGAATACCGTCAGAAAAACCTAATGATCAATGAATATTACTACTGCGTAGGAAACATAGAATAAAACAGGTGCAAAATGCCAATGTTCACATATTCAATTTGATAATCACATATTATACTTTTGTTCTTTATAAGTTTATTAGTCGAAGCACATTTTTATCTTATTTGACTCATTCATGATTTGTTCTTTTATCGAACCTCATTATTCAATACAGTACAAGTTGATGATCAGTTGCGTAAACCTTAAATTAAAACATAAAGACTAAAAAAAAGTTCATTCAATATCATACAAATGTTACGTAGTCAAATATTGATTTCTAGTACTCAAGAATTAAGAAATAGTGTCGTTCAAAAACATATCGATTGTTCAAAGCAACAAAAAAAATATTGGACTTCCTTATCTTTGGTTGTCACACATGATTTTTTTTAAGGTAAAACAAAATTTTGCTATGGCCAAAAACTTTACGTTGAAATTTCGTACTTAGATTTTTTTCCATAAATATGCTGTCAGAGATTTTTGAAAATTAACCAGTCTCGTTAGAGCGCACTTTAGATAAAATGCCAGTTCGATTAGTGAATCATACTGGAGAATGTTTCCTGGTTAGTAATGAAATTTAGCAGTACTGTTCATAGAGACGGAAAATAAGACTTGAATTTGATTTTTTTCACTAAGAGATATCTGTTCTCTTTCTCGTAGAGAAGAGTCTTGCAAACATAAATTGCCTGATTGATTGCTTGCTTGCTTGTGTGTCCGCACTTCACTGATTGGTCGAATAACGATCTCGACACAAAAAGAGTTCTTTCAAATAAAACTCAACCAAAGGTAATCGAGATCGAGGAACTCGAATCTGAGATCAGTTTTTTGAAATTTTTTTTTCTGAATCATTTTTTTACACAAAGGATTACTTTTTTACGAAAAAAAATCTTTTTTATAAGGGTTGGCCGAAGGGTAATCGGGGTCGGGAAATCCGAACATGAGGTTAGTTTTTTGAAAGGGTGTGGGTGTGTGTGTGCGGGTGTGGTTGGTAGTTGAAGTAAAGTGAGGGCACACCCACAAAATCACGATATCTACTCACAGTAAGAATTTCAATTCAATTGCATGTATTCTTGATGAGATATAGATGTCACAAAAAAATCACAAAAGAAATGCACTTTTTTGACGATAGAACCCTCAGAAAAATTTCAATATCTCGAGAACGGAACAATATTTTTTCAAGCGGCTTGCGTCGAAATTCTGAAAACTCTTACCCTAAAACATATCTTAAATTGAGCAAAATTGGATGACCTCGATTGAGCAGTTTTTGTGGAAATCGGTCGTGGCTTATGTGGACTGACTCATAAAGTAAACAGTGTTATTTGGTGCTAACACTTGTCCAGGCAAATTTCAAGATCCCAAAGTTTTGATTTCATATCTAAGTAGTACCAGGTCAACAGTCTTTGAGAAAAAAAATCAGCAAATTCTATCACACTGATCTGGAAAAAGCCTATCATGAAGATAGGCTATTTTTGATCCTAATATATAGGGAAACCAGGGGTGATCTCAAAGAATTCAGTCATACTTTTTGAAGACATGGACGTTATTGAATATGATGATTGTATTCCCCATCTCAAAATGTATATCTGGTCAAAATTTCAGAACTCTATCACGTACTAGTGACGAGATATCGTCAAAATAGCTCACACAGAAAATTGATCAAAAATTTCTCAAATTAACTAAAGTCTATTTTGGGTGCTATTAGTCGGATAAGCGTATCTCAGCCAAAGTTCAACCTTTAAGTCTAAAAATTTGGTTATATACCTAAAAAAAGTTGCTCTACAAAATGGAATAACTTTCATCAAAATCTGAGTCTATCGATTGAGCAGCTATATTGGGATTCGGTCGTCTCTCTCGTGAGGTAACTCGTATGGCTATCCCCATAGGATAGCTCTTGAGAACTATGAGTACCTCCATAGGGTAGTCGTCGAGGACCTATGGGTATCCCAATATAGTAGCCCTTGGCGCCTTCCCCTTATAGCCTTATTTGATCTTTGATCTGGCACAGAGAAACACACACACACTGAACATTATACATATAGATAGAACAAACGAGACTTTATTCAGAAAAAAAAATCCATAACACAATTTATTTATCTTATGTTTGTGTTAACATAATATTTGTTTCGCGTTGCATCATCATAGCTTCCATAAGAAGTCGATCTGCTTGTAAACTAGTTGTCCATTGCTTTTCTATGAAAAATTTTAAACTTGTACAATATGGAACTTGACAATTTTGATTCATGCAAATTTTAGCATGGTACCAATAAAGAAAAATAACTTGTTTGCATATATTACATTGACGATTTTTTTCTTTACAATCTTTTGTATGTTGTATAACAT